AGCCTAGTGGAAAAATGTTTGCAGAAGATCACTATTGTTTAGAACTATATTCAGCCCAAATCAATGCTCTTCTCTTGGTTGTCAGTTATTCATGTAATGACAAGATAAGATTTTAATGTATTTAAAAAGTGGACCACCAGATACAATCCCTTTATATTCTCAACCATCATTCGAGGCAACCCTCCTCATCTCCATCCAAGCTGTTTTGTTAAAACTCTCCCCACCCTGAATCATGATTAGAAAATGCATAATCTTCCGGTGATAGCACCAACTGCCACAGGATGAATAGTTTTCTAAATATTATGTTTTGGGTCTCAGTGAAAGATACAGTGGTGCCCCGCTTGACGACAATCCGTTCCAGGAAAATCGTTGTCAAGCAAAAAACAAAACAAAACAACAACCACTGGAATGCAGTGAAAACTGGTCAATGCGTTCCAATGGGAAAATACCTCATCGTCCAGCGAAGATTGCCCATAGAGAACTGCCGATCAGCTGTTAAAAATCGCTGTCTTCCAAAGCAGGGGTCTGGAAAGCAGCCATTTTGCAAAGGGAGGGAAGCCATTTTGTGGAACCGGAAAAACCATCGTATACTGAACAAACAGTTCGCGAAGCAGGCTCCTAATCAACGCAATGTGGATTTCCCTCATTGGAACCATCGTTTTGCAATTGCAATAGCGATCACAAAAAGTCATTGTTAAGCGATTTTGACGTCATGGGGGGTAACTGTCTAGCAGGGCACCACTGTAATTTGGCTATAAGTACTAAACAGATTTCAAATGAATACAGTGAAACTCGACAAAAGATAAACTGAACCTACTCTATTTTTCTCTGGTTTAAAATGCCTTATTCCTAGCACTGCTTTTTGACACTCTCACTTCTATAATCATTTTTTTTAAAAAAAATCCAGGCAAAGAGCATGGCTCAAGGCCTGAGCCATGGAAGAAACAGCCAGTGACTGCAATGGGCTTTTCTTCCCCTTATCTCCTCCCTGCAGTGATCTGTAGCAAACAGAAACCTGCTTTGAAGGGTTACTCAGCCTTCCAAAGCAGGTTGTATACACCAAAGGGGCTTGTGGAGAGGGGCAACTATTGTTGTCCTGATTCTGCTGAAGAAAACATTCTGTTGGAAGAACGATCCTATTTTCCTTGAGCTTCCATTCAGTATACAGTGGTGCCTCGTTTAACGAGCGCCCCGTTTAACGACGAAACCGCATAGCGATGAAGATTTTGCGATCGCAAAAGCGATTGCATTGCAATGTTTTAAATGGTAAAAAATCGCTTTGCGATGATCAGTTCACTGTTTCGCTTACCAATTTATCGCATAGCGATGTTTTTTCAACAGCTGATCGGCGGTTCCAAAATGGCCGCTGGGTAAAAAAAAAAGCCACCCGCTGTGTTTTCATGTGGTTTCCTCGCTTACCGGGCAGCGAAAATGGCCGCCGTATGAAGGATTTTCGCTTAAAGGTGAGTTTTTAGCCCATAGGAACACATTAAACAGGTTTTAATGAATTTCTATGGGCTTTTAAAAACCGCACAGCGACGAAATCGTTTTGCAGCGATTTTTGCTGCATGGGTTATCGTCGCTATGCGGGGCACCACTGTACAAATGAGCTTTGAGATTTTTAATATAGGGTAATTACATACTGTCTAAAAACCCAGTAAGTCACAGCTAGGGTAGACAGTGAATCAGTGGAACTTACAGAGGAGTTGCCTCAACAAATATGCAGATTCAATGGGCCCATTTTGCTATGATTTACTACTGGATTTTAGCCACTAGATAGCTTTAAAGCAAAGATAACCAGCAAGAGCATGGCAAATCCCAGAACACCATAATAGGCATTGACCGCCTTAGTTCCAAATAGAAAGGTTACCTACCTGTAACCATGGTTCTGCTAGTGGACCTCTGTGAATTCACACAAATAGGTTTCCTCTGCTTCCTCGGAAGATTCTCAGAAGAGAGGTTCTTATAGGCGGGACACAATTGCGTCTGATGGGCTTCGCCCAGGCAGAATAAACATTTATCATGCCCGTCGGTGAGGGGTATTTTCTTGCGGCAAACAGTGCACCGCTTAAATCCGAGGGGCCATAAAACAGGGGAATTGGGGGGGAAGTCCAAGGGGACAGGGGTAAAAAAGATGGGAAAGCGAGAAACAGTTGTATACAGGCGATTCAAAATCTCAGTCATTAAGGAAAGAAACTAAAAAGAATGTAGGTGATCTAATTGCAAAAAGGAAATAAGATTTAGTAAAGAAATACAGGTTTACTTTCCTTTCACTGAAGCTCTACTGTTCCTAACGTCCTAACTGAGTGGTGGAAAAAAAGGAACTGAGAGGAAGGTTGAGGAGGCGGAGCTTGCACCCTAGAGGGGTATCTCATTCTCAATCTTTTTTAAAGGTCTAGAATCTTCCGAAACGTCCTGCGCAGGCGCAGAGAAAACCAATTTGTGTGCATTCACAGAGGCCACTACAAAGAACTTGTAGTTTTAGAACATATCTGGTAATAAGTACATACTATAGTTATTTGAACTAGTTAGTGTTGGGGAAGTACTGCTGTATACCTGAATTTTTATTATACTTCTTTTCATCCTGCAGAACCTTTGACGTTCAATGAAGCCCCTGACAGCAGCTTGTGCAATGATGATTCTCTTCAGAGTTTGTAAATAAGCCGCTCTCTGGTGTTTCATAGTCAAATAAGACCGATAATGTTGTTGTATTAAAGTTGCAGCTTCCCTGTATTTCTGATACTGTTCTGTGTAACATAGTCCGTGCAACACAGTCGCTTCAGTAACAAATTGGACAGACTTTTTGCAGTCCACAACCATAGAAAAGAGCGGAACCATTGCTGGATGTGCTTTCTTTGTCTTTCTGCGTACAACCATTCCACGATAACCAGACTGGATAGTTATTACTGCCCACTGTATCAGTCTGTAATGTTTGTGCTGCACATGCATGCGATAAAAAGACTGGATGAGAGTTGCAGCGATATGCATTGCTGCCAATTCTTGTTTTCTTTTCATATCACTGTCAAAGACCTGAGTAACTATAGCAGATTTCTGCATTACAGAACTTTGCTGATGTTTCAGTTTTACGTAAGTTCGGTAGTAAGTCTGTATGATTATAGCAGCGTATCTCAGCCTCTGGTACTTGACCCTAGCTCTATGCCTTCGAAAGGATGCCTGAATTATCCTTGCAGCTGAATGCATGTGCTTGATCTGTTTCCTTACTTTAAAACCTCTGAAGAAAGACTGCACACAAACTATGGCTGCATAGACAGAAGCATATTTCCGAACCTGTCTTCTTCCCAAAATCAGTGATCTGTACCACCTCTGAAGCAGCACAGTAGCTGCTTTTAAAGCTAGGTACCTTCTACGTTCTCTCTGCATTTTAAAATTCCGCTGAAGTACAAGAGCAGCTTGGTGTCTTTGATACTGTGTTGCCTTCATCTTCCGAAATGCTCTCTGAATGCACACAGTGGCTGTCTTAACACAGAAATACTGCTGGACTGCAATTTTGCTGAGCATATTGGCTCTGACTCTTCCCTGGATAACTCTGGCCGCCCACTGCATTTGTTTGTAGGAACACTGTTGTCTGTGCCTTCGATAGTTACTCTGTATGATTATGGCAGCATCGTGCTGTTTTTTAAAGACCCATCGCATTTTCATTCCTCTGAAGGCAGCCTGAAGGACTAAAGCAGAGTGGCGCTGCTTTAAGTACAACCCTCTGACACATTTAGTTTCTTGGTATGCTCTGTACTGTTGTTGTATTCTAATAGTAGCAAGCTTCAAAGCCTGATACTGAGTGTAAGCCATATGCATCCTAAAGGCTGCCTGGATAACGGTAGCAGCTCTCTGCATTTGCTTTACTGATTTTCTGGTCAGTTGGCCTCGGATGGTTGATTGCACTATAATAGCTGTTTTACGGAGGTGGAGATACTCTTCATGCTGCTGTTTGGAAAGCACTGTTGCTCGGTACTTCCTCTGAATTGTCAGAGCAGCAGCCTTAAGTGAAAGGAAACTCTTCCTTTGAAGAAAAGTTCTAAACAGCCTCTGAATGGCTGTTGCAGCCCTATGCATCTTTTGCAGATGGTGCCTTGCTTTCATGCCTCGAAATGCAGACTGTATTCGAAGTGCAGACATCTTTATCTGCCTGTATTTGTGCATCTGGACATTTCGACCTTTGCAACCACGATACCACTGCTGAATAAGTTTTGCTGCTGCAACCAACTTTTGGAAGGACTTCTGTTGTCTGTACATTCGATAGAATGACTGAAGAGAAGTTGCAGACTGGTGCAGAATTTTCAATTCCTGTCTAACTTTCATGCCTCTGTAGGCAGCCTGAAGGATGAGAGAAGACTTCTTTATCTGAAGATAGTATCTGCGCTCCTTTCTTCCTCTGCAAAAAGCTCTGTATCTTCTCTGGATGATAACAGCTGACAGCTTCATTGCTTGATATGTGACGTTGCATTGATGCATCTTAAACATAGCTTGGATTCGAACAGCTGCCTGGTCCATGTGCTGAATTTTTCGTCTTGCTTTCCCACCTCTGTAAAATGCCTGGATTTTAACAGCTGCTTCCTTTAAAGAAAGGTATTCCTGCCTTTTCCTATGGGTTAGGACAATAGCACGATACCATCTCTGAACTGTGATAACAGCTCCTCTGAAACGTTTGAACTTTGTGTGGTTAACATGCATCCTGTAGAAGGACTGTATGACCACAGCAGCCTGAAGCTGTCTCTGGAATTGCTTCCTCACAAGATTCCCTCTCCAAGCTGCTTGGAGCTGTACGATGCTGCTGCGAAGAACAATGTATTCCTGATGCTGTTTTCTACTCGACCTTTTAGCCCTGTAGTGCTGCTGAAGAATTAGAACAGCGCCTCTTGTCATTATGAACCTTTTTCGTGCCTCATACCTTCTGAAGGCAGTCTGTATTATCACTGCAGCAGCACGTTGCTCTAGAAGCCATTTCCTCACTTGCCATCCCCGCAGAGCTGCCTGCAAAGAAGTCACCAATGCTTTTCTTGCCATCCCCGCAGAGCTGCCTGCAAAGTCACCAATGCTTTAGTCTTCAGGAAATGTCTTCTCATTCTGGAAGCCCTGTACCATTTCTGAATTGTACGGGAGGCTTGAATCAAGGCTTGGTATTTTGTTTTAGCAGTGTAAGCCCTGAATGCAGCCTGTATCTTAATAGCAGCCGCATATTGACATCTAAGCATCTTGCGTAGTTTATAACCCCTATAGCCTGCTTGCAAACAGACAGCTGCCTTTTTCATTTGCAGGAACTTCAGCCTCTGAGTGGTTTGCTCTCTGTATGCACGGTAGTGTATCTGAATAACGAGAGCAGCCTTAGACATCTTTAGGAAATGTTTCCTCGCTTTCTTCATTTTGTACCAAGCCTGAAGGACAGCAGCAGCTTCATGCCATCCCTGAATCACAAGGTGGTAGGAGGAAAAAGAAGCAACATTGTTAGAATCAGTTATTTAATCTTTACACTGCTAATACAAGATTTATTTTTTTTACAATGACTTTTCTTAATAAAGATTCAGGATGCTTCAATTGTTCTGGGATGGGGGGGACTCTAGTAGTGAAAACCCATATTTCAACTTTATTTTGAAGTCTTATTGATTCTAGGTGGGCGTAATAAGGTTCCTATTCATCTCAGGTCGGTGAATAATTCACTTATTTTTGACAGAATAACTTCACACACAACCAGTCTTACTGGCTTGATCACAAGTTATACCTTTATAGCTTCTTCCTGCTTTGCCTTTTTTAATTTCTCAAGTTCCATCTTCGCCAAACATCTTCGCCAATATTTCTGAATTACAACTGCTGCACTCTTGGTCTGGCAAGAAAAAAAATTACAGATCAAATGCTTATAAGCAATGCTTTCTTCCTCCTGCAGTCAATTTCTATTGACAGTTTATAGCAAAATGAAAAGCAATGGAAAGGAATACCTGAGCAAGTTTTGTTTTCAGTCTGCGTTCTCTCCAAGCGGACTGAATCAGTTGAGCTGCTCGAATCTCTTTAGAAAGTTCTAGAAGTCGTGAACACAGATATGACAGATAGGTGATAACTACCTAAGGGAAAAGCAGAGAATACTCAAAAATGTAGCATGTTTAAATGAAAAAATCAAATGTGAATTTTGAAAATGTGGCTTTTACCTTTTCATCAGGAATTGTATTAGACATGTCTGAATGGTGAATCATAGATGGAATGCCACCAAGGTTAGAAACTGCTGCATTAATCAGTTGGAAATTTCTCTTCTCGTTATCAAGAAGTTCTTTATAAAGCATGGACGTAGTTACAGCTTTATAAAAAAAGATTTAAAAGATTAAATATTTTAAATCAGATGCAAAAACCACCTGTCTGTTTTCAAAGTGTCATTTAATGCTCACCTTGGTCAAAAGTTTCACTCAGCAGATTTAGAGAACCTTCAGATTCAGAGGACGAATTAAGTGCAAGGGTACCACTTTTAGTACATTCTACTGTTTGAGTAGTGCGCTGGCATATCGCATCCAAAGGTATATAACATGGATGATAATGATGAATCAAATAGCATAGCACTCTTCCATCTGAGAAAGATACTGTGAAGTTTTCTACCTAGTTTTAAAAAGACAAATATATCAGAGCCAGGGAACTACGCTGCCAGTGGCATCTCTCTGTATACCTGACACGGAATCAGACCACCTGCCCACCCTATGCAGCACTGTCTACGCTGAATGTCAGAAAATTTAGCTGAAAGACAGGTTTCTCTAATGTGAATTTAACAGCGTTGTGATATAAATTTAAAAGGGCCACTCCAAGTCTCATTACACTGCTTAAGTGCTCGCATACATATTCATTTTCTATGATAGCTTGCTTTAATTTAAATAATTGCAAAAGTACTGAAAGCAGGCAACTACCACTCAACAAGCACCCTGTCTTGACTACGTAACCACAGCCTCAGTAAAGCTAACTGAAGAAAATGGGCATGATTGTGAAAAACATATTCCCAGCCACACCATGATTACACACTCGCTGAACTATTTCAATTTTCACTTTTCAGAGTACAATAATAACAAGGGCTCAAGTAAATGTGCTCTGCAGTCTCTGCCATAATTAAAGGTTATTTCTACTGATTAATATCCTATAACTTTTTATCTAGCAGATAAATATTTCAACCTTAATTATTTTGTCAAGCACACACAAGAATAGAGGTACATAACTTTAAAAGTTGTTGAAAGGAAAAATTCTTTACCTTCACATTGTAAAATTGACAGACGGCATTCACCCAAATCATTAACAGTTTTATATTTCCACTGTAACTTTCCGATGAATAAAAGCTATTGCTGCTGCTATCTTTTCTCACTTGTTTAACAACAGAAGATTCCAAAGACACTCCCTTCCCTTTGGAGATATACATGTTCTTTAAAATATCAGTTTCTTCTTTTAACTGAATCACATCAAGGGAAACATCCACCTAAGAAAAAGCAAACACATGTTCTTAAAACATTTGTTATATATAGCTAACTAACTTGTAAGGTAAAGATAAAGGTTCCCCTTGCCAAATTGTCCAGTTGTGTCCTACTCTAGGGGCCGGTGCTCATCCCCGTTTCCAAGCTGTAGAGCTAGCATTTGTCCATAGACAGTTTCTGTGGTCACATGGCCACCGCGACTAGACAAGGAACACCGATACCTTCCCACCATGGTGGTATCTATTTATCTACTCACAATTTTTACATGGTTTCGAACTGCTAGCTTGGCAGGACAAGCGGCGGGAGCTCACTCCATTGCGTGGATTCGAACTGCTGGTCTTTCGACCTTGCAACCCAGAGGCTTTGCAGTTTAACCCACAACTCCACCCACTTCCCAATTAACTAATTTGTACGTTCCTATATCTCCTCAAAGGTAGGACTTTTTAAAAAATGGCCAGAATTTTGTTTGTCATCATGGAATGACATAAAGGCGACTGTGCAAGTACATGTGATATGGCCTGCACCATGTCTTACTGTAGTTGGGCAATCAATCACAGGACCAGCCACATAAGTTACTGTACAACAGTCAGCCGAAAAAGCACTTCTGCAAATGCTCTTAGACACACAGAAAACTGAAAATGGTTTTGACCTGTGGAGTTTATCCTTAGGTAAATACAAGATTTCAGACTACAATTCCCAGGTAAGGTTGCAATTCTATACAGACCTATACGACACTAAATGAAACTTATTATGAGGAGGAATACATGGGACTGTGTTTTATAAATAAAAACAATTGATTTATTTCTCTAACAAAGTGAAGAAGGCTAACAAGTTCACTTCTTTCTTTTTCTGATCACTATGTTCAGTTCTCCAAAAATTTAAAGTCTAATCTTTCTATGATGGCTCAAAGACTGAACTATAATGATAAAAATTTGTATACTTTAAATGCAGAGAACCTTACTATCTTTTTTGGAGGCTCTATTCACATTCTTATGCCATATCTTATAGTACAACTAATGACTACATAGCTAATATATATTAATTAGGTGGCATATAAAGGCTTTTCACAAGAGTTATCTTTATGTAGCCAGGATAAAGTAGGACCATGACTGCCATATGTAGTTTGAACACACTCTCTTGCTGATGGGCAATCAGTGAACAAGATCCATTGGCCCCCTCCACTCTTGTTCATGAATTAACTTTTGTGAAGAGCCATACAATTTTATTTGGTTCTACTGGTAGACATTTTACTAAGCATCCTCAGAGGTATATTATATTTTTGCGCATGTCGAGTCCTTACTTTCCCTATAGGCAGGTTCGTACCTCGAATTGTTCGCAAGTCGGGTCGTTCGTAAGTCGAGACCCCACTGTACATACTGAACAACTTCAGTTAATGATTTGCTTCCTAAGTGTATTATGCAGTACCTGAAAAGCAAACACTATTTTCCACAGTAAAGCAAATGTTTTCTCTCTGTGCCGATCCACAATATCCTTTGCTTCAATTGTTCCACCTAAAAATCAGACAAGCTGGTTAGTCATTAAGCCTATTATCACATCTTCTATATGGTTCTGTCCTGGCAATACTTTCTAATGCTTACTGTGTTCGGCCTTTAGCTGAATCCCATGGTCTTTAAGTACCTCAAGTACAATGTTGACATTATGTATCTTCTGAAGTCGGCTTATTGCAGGAACTCTTAATTTTTTGGAAAGACTCCAATTTTTTGACAGAAGTTCCAATGCTCTCCTTAAAATATAAAAGATTCCATGTTAAAACTTAACAATTTCTTTAAGTCCTCTGTAAAAAAAAAATCTCAGCAGAAACTTACACAAGGCGAATGCCACACTGCAAATCTGTAGCAAGATTTGTTACAGCAAAGTCAAATTCATCTAATGGAGTTTGCACGTGATTAACTGGAAAGCCCATAAATCCAAGGTGGCGTGAAAGATCACCCTCTCCACTTAAAAAATCTCGGGAAAATGCCAGCAATATTTCTTTACTAGACTGCAGAAAAAGAAATGAGTAATTAAACACACATACAGCAGGTCTACAATCCTGAACACTTTATGGGGCTTTCTGCTGAGCAAACGCTCTTATTACTGGAGTTTAAGGCAGTCTTGTGGCTTGCAGCTATACTTCAAAGAGCCTTGTGGTACACAAAATATGTGCAAGATTGTAGATGTCTTTGCTATAACCTTTTTGGATTGTAGATCCAACCTTTTTCGATTGTAGATTTCTACACGCAGACATCATGTGTCCACATGTAGAAAGTTTATGCTTAATCGAACTTGCTAGTGTTTCTAAAGTGCTGTTTTTGTTAAAAAAACTAAAATGGCCAGCCCCTCAAACCCATCAATTATGTTGAAATGTAAATGAGAATACCTTGAATTCTGCATTTTTGCAGAAGAGGCAAGGATCATGTTCAATAATTCGAGACAATTTTGCACGATCAAGGAAGCAAATCAACAGAAGCAGCTTTTTCAGTGTAAATTTGGACAATGCTTCTTCATGGCCTAGAAGTAAAATACAAGATTTTACATAGAGACATCTTGTAAGAATACATCAGATTATGGGATAAGAAAGAAAAAACAGTTACCATCTCGATAAAGATGTGGCACTGATGGATGTCTATATTCAGCTGCAATATCAGGGTTCCACAGTAAGCGGCTGAGTATAAACACTGCTAAACCCATCACATCACTGTTACTTTCCAAAGGAATAAGTTCACCATAAATTGTCTAGTAACAGAACAGAACAACAGAAAACAGTTTTAGAGACATAACAATGCAATTCATAATTTAAAGCAAACTTACAAAAAGCAACAATACAATGCTAACTAGAAAATTTAAGATCCCAAATGTACCACCAATCATTAACCAGCTAATAATTGATCAGTGTAATCTCCTGCTTCTTTTTTGGAAATAAGACAATATTTGGGGGACACTATATTCTGCTTTACATTCCATTTTCCCACTAACATACAATGAACTAGGCTCCACAAGGGTTTAAATCCTATTTCTTTGAGGCTCATGATACCTTGCTCTCAAACATTGTTGAGTACCTAAGCCATACATATAGCTCAAGGACTTTATTGAAAAAACTCCAGAAAATTAATTATAGCTATAATTAGAAATACAAATGCAACAACAGACAAATATATGATCTGTTCATACATACCCACCCATGTATGCGATTTTTTGAAAATGCGCATATAGTATTATTATAAACTTTTACACCTATAACCATCTTCAAAATGTGTACTTGCTATGAATGTGCTGAACTACTGTAGATAAGTAGCAAACGGATTTAAGACCAGCACAGGCCTTCATGGTACAGTCTTTGACATGAAGCAACTAGGTCCAGGCATAACTAAGTAACTAAGTAAGGGGAAATTGTATGGTTTCTGCTGCAAATAAAATTGAATATGCAAATCTGCTTCAGAATTTCAGAATATGAATGTTATCAGATCTGTTTCAGGATACTGACACATGCATTACAGGCATTAATCTGTATCTCTTAATATTTTAAGGCAATGTAAGAGAGTGAGCCCTGTCATGGATTGCTGCCTTGTCATGGCGAAGGGGCTTGAGTAATTCAGAGAAGCTATGGGCTATGCTGTGCAGGGACACCCAAGACGGACAGGTCATAGTGGAGAGTTCGGACTAAATGCGATCCACCTGGCGCACAAACTGGTAAGCCACTCCAGTATCTTTGCCAAGAAAACCCCATTAACAGAAACAAAAGGCTAAAAAATATGACGCTGGAAGATGAGCACCTCAGGTCAGAAGGCGTCCAACATGCTACTGAGGAAGAGTGGAGGACAAGTACAAGTAGCTCCAAAGCTAACGAAGTGGTTGGGCCAAAGCCGAGAGAACGCTCAGCTGTGGACATGCCTGGAAGTGAAAGGAAAGTCCGATGCTGCAAAGAAAAATACTGCATAGGAACCTGGAATGTAAGGTCTATGAACCTTGGTAAGCTGGAGGTGGTCAAACATGAGATGGCAAGAATAAACATTGGCATCCTGGGCATCAGTGAACTAAAATGAACAGGAATGGGCGAATTCAGCTCAGACGATTATCATATCTACTATTGTGGGAAAGAATCCCGTAGAAGAAACGGACTAGCCCTGATAGTCAACAAAAGAGTGGGAAAAGCTGTAATGGGATACAATCTCAAAAATGATAGAATGATTTCAATACCAATCCAAGGCAGACCTTTCAACATCACAGTAATCCAAGTTTATGCACCAACCACCAATGCTGAAGAAGCTGAAATTGACTATTTCTATGAAGGCTTACACCACCTTCTAGAACTGACACCAAAGATGTTCTTCTCAATATAGGGGACTGGAATGCTAAAGTAGGGAGTCAAGACATAAAAGGAACTCCAAGGTTTGGCCTTGGAGTCCAAAACGAAGCAGGGCAAAGGCTAATAGAATTTTGTCAAGAGAACAAGCTGGTCATCAAAACACTCTTTTCCAACAACACAAGAGGCAACTCTATACATGGACATCACCAGATGTGTCAGGGTATAGAATTTTATAGGCCTGAACCCATATATGTTTCATTAACGAGTTGCCATTATGTGCAGATGAGAGAAAAGCTGAATCATCCTAAGCTGATGCAATGAGGTGAAAC